TACGCAAGTTGCAATTGCACCTCCGCCTGGAAAGTAGACATACCCTGTGTGCTGCTGTGCTTTCCTCCCATCCCGGTATGATGCTTGCTTCCATTGGTCAATCCTCTCGGCAGCTACTGTATAGAATCTATAAAGCAGACTTGGCCCTAATTATTAGCTTTCCATGCACACATGAGGGGTCTCGAATGCAAAAACAGATGCATACACAGATAATGTATGTGTATGGTATTTATGCTGGTTCCATACAAATTGGGCCCTTAGTGAAGAACAAGTAATAAGAATACATGAACTTTTAAAAACAAATATTCTGATCATAAAAATTAGGTAATTAAAAGAAACACATAATATCTCTCTCTTTCTGTATTGTCTTTAAATAGAATGTTTTTCAAAGTTTTCGATGAGCCACCAGAGAGCTTTCAAGGATAGCAGGGTATCATACAACAAAAACATGCTAATACGGCAAAGTCTCTAAATCCACAGGATAACTCACTTTTCATTCATATTTGGACTCTGCCACCTTTCTCCCTCAACCCTTATTCCAAGGCAGCAATGGAGTATATGATTTTTCCTGACAGGGATGGGTGAACAGATTAAGAAGAAATTTGTGGTTGATCAAACAGAACTCAGTTTCTGGGATGAATTAATTAAATGTTGTGTCAAGAGAACTCCAATATCACCTTGTCACAATGCTATCAGAGCTTGTTTTCCTCCAGAGTTGGTAAACGTAGGACATACAGGAAAGGGGACAAACTAATACAGCTTGAATATTTGGAGATTTGTTTGTTTGTTGACTATAGTGCAGCCAGCTCAGCCATCTAATTGAGAAGATTACATTTACATAGGGTAAAAATTTAAAAAGTGCATGAGTCAAAAGATCCTATGGGTAAACATTTTAAAGGTACCTAATTGATTCAGGAGCCCAAATCTCATTTTCTAAAGTACCTAAGCACGTGCGGATCTCCAGTTTGCAAGTTCAAGTGGCTTTTGGGGTACACAGATGTGGGTATTTCTTTGGCATGACTTCAATTTGCCAGCAAGAGAATATTATTTGTGCTAATTATTCTAAATCAACAAAAGCGGTTGCATCCATTTTATATTCATTTCCATGCAGCTAACTACACAGTTAATAGAATTTATGTATAACATCCAGAATAATATTTCTACCCATTATCCTTCAAAGTAAAGTCAGCCTTTACTCTTGTTTGGTCAGTAATGACTGGAAATATATTCCTGGCATTTTTCCACACAAATAGTTGGCCAGCATTGCACGTAGTCAACAATCCATTCCATGATCTCTCTGTTGGAGCCAGATATTCTTTGGGTTGTTACACTGTGCAGCACAGCTGTTTCCTTCAGTCTGTGAGCTTGAGAACCTGGGAGAAAGCTGGATTGTCTGCATGTGTGCGTATAGCATCCCGAATAAAGAATCTCCTTTGTCTTCACTACAACAGAGTCCTGGCTCTTCTATCATGAAGAGCGCTACATCGTGTTTGAATATAAATAGCATGTTAAATCTGAACTTTCTTCTGAGAATGAAAAAGTAATCATCCAGTGACATCATTTACTGAATATTCATAATTAACAAAAAGCATTAACCATCAGCATTAGAAGTGACTCAAACATTACTCTCCTTAAAAGAGTTTATGTTTGCTCACAAAGAATAATACAGCCTTAACAAAATGTTCCTAAATTTTATAGCAAGGGGAATGTAAAATTTTATCAGCACTGGCTTCTAATGTGACATTATACAGTCACATAGAGTACACACACACTGTAATCAGTCATCTTGTAAAATGCTGTCAAGTAAAATAGTGACATTTTAGATAAAGTCACATACTAAACGAAAGAGGAGAGACAAATAGCTAATTGGATCGGAAAGTCACCAGTTTCACTAACTCACTGGAGAATTTGAAATCCTAACTTAGTCAGATGTTCTCCATTTTGTTGTTTTTAACTTTCTGGAGGTGCCTGGCAGAGACTCCATAGTCAGAGTTGCAACTATGGTGGGCTTACAGTAGGGCATGAATTCCGTTTTTTTGTTAATGTAGGTTGCCAATTGGTGTGACATTTTAGAGGCTGTTAATCTTTATGCTCTTTGAATTGTCTATGTAGTGTTTGTTTGGTTTCTCATAATAAATTTTTAATAATTAAGCCATTGGATTTGGGTGAAATTTTTCCTTGGCAGTTCTACATTTCATTGTTGACTGATATCCCCCTGCACTTCGACCAATTTGTCTATCTCCCCCTTATCTAATGCCTGCCCCAGATTAAACATTTTAAAAAAACCACCTAAGAAGTGTATGCACAAAAAAAAAAAGTGTGTGAAGTCATTAGTCATGGGAAATGAAAAGTTAAGTCAATTACCTGCATACCCTCTACTCCTTTACCCGCAAGCACACACCTTACTATGGCCACAACTACCCTACATGATAGACAGTGTACCACAGACATAACTCTGCCTCTCTTGGGATGCCAGCCTTCCTTTACCTCTTTAATCACTCTACTGAACAGAGCCGTTTATAAAACTACCCTCTCCCAACACAACCAAACACCTACAACTACTAATGTCGGGAAAAAATAATCTGCTAAAGGAGTGTGTGCTGAAGAGTAAAAACAAGGCAGAGTAAAGGTCCATGGTGTATGGTAGTTGTGGTGTCCATGGTGTGGTAGTAAGGTGTGTGTGTTAGGTGCGGTAGAGCAGATGGTATGTAGTTAAGTGGATTAATTTTTCACTTCCTTTCTTTTGTGGGTGTGTGTCAGGCATGTTTTGTGTGTAGCAACCCTAACTGCTTCATAATGAAGTTTCTGTGTTTTATAATAATAGCCAAGTGGTCATATGGAACAAAGGATCTCAAACCAGAGCAGTGAAGTGCTTGGATTTTCTCTGTAAATCCTGTGTATTTTACAGAGATCGTTGGTTTTTCACAGGTTAGAAAACAGTTACTTGTCTTCACCAATGTGCGGGATTCTACCATTTCTTATGCTCTGCAGTTATGTCTGAAGAGTTAGAGAACAGATTTCATTGTGCTTATAAAAACTCGCACTAGAACACACCTCCCTACTGTTGGCTGTAGGGAGCTTTATGTGCTCTCTTTCCCCAAGGAGACATGGATTTGCATCTAGATTTGGAAGCAAGTGAAATAAACTTGGTTGTTTCAATTGAGCGTTGAATAGGCATTTGATCACATGATCAGACCACTGCACAGCTCGAAAAATCTGTAAGACTCTGCTCAGGAGAGCAATAATGGTGAATGAGCAAGGGTGTTTCAAATCAGGATTTTGGTCCACAGGTAAGATAATTATATCTATACTACTATATGCCTAACTCTAGCTAGTGAAAGCAGCTACCCAAATTTCATGGACAGAGAAATTCACTCCCAAGATATCATACTTCAGCAGATAGGCACGACATAAATTAAACTATTATTATTATTATAATGTCAAAATACTTGCACAAGTGGGAAAACACAGATATTGAAAAAATCTGATGCTCTGCATCTTCACGTTACATTTGCCCTCCTCATGCTAAATCAATTACTCAAAATGTGTTGATGTGGAATAAATATTTGAATGTGAATAAGCAACAGTTTCACGTCAATCCATATCCGATAAGTTGGCCAAATACAACACAAACAAACAAACAAACTGTGACGGGGCAGCCCCGCCCCGCACTGGCCCCAGCGACGTCCGACCAGTAGCTCTGACAGAGGAAGTCCCGCCCCATTCATATTGGGCATGCTCCAGATGCTCACTGAGTATAAAAGGAGGGAACTCAGCTCAGTTGGGGCTGGCGGCCGCAGGGGAAGGACATAACTGGGAAGCTCCTGCAGAGGACCAGCTGACGCTCTTGAAGCTGCCAGGAACAGAGGCTTTTATAGGCCGGCACGAAGCCCTACGGTGGGAGGAACCAGGGGAGGCGACGGATCTGGAGACTCACAGAGAACCCTGGGATCCATGGGAGACCCCAACTCCGCAGCCGGTAGGGAGTGACCCGGGGGAGGTGATGGACTGGTACCTTGACCCCGGTGAGCCTCAGTGTGTTTTGGTAGGACCCCTCGCTGAGCCAGTAGTAAGGTCCTACGGCTCCGCAACAGGGGCGCTTATATGGACTCTGGCCATTAGGCCGCGCTGCCCTGCAACCAGGGGCGCTTATATGGACTCTGGCCATTAGGCTGTGCTACCCTGCGACAAGGGTTGATCCTATGGACTCTGGCCACTAGGCCGTGCTGCCCTGTAAGGAGGGGCGTAAACCCTCACACAAACAAACAAACAAAGCACTCCACAATTCAGACAATCTGTACAAATGTATTCAGTGTGTTGAATCAGTCTAATACTTCGCTGGCATTTAAACAACACTGTCAAAAGTACTTCGTGAGCGAAACTAAACTTGCAGTACTACTTATTTTTAATGAATGATGCTACATGTATTTGATTGCTGTTTTGAGTTCTAGATTTTGGTTTTTGATGAAGCAAACTTTCCAAGACAGAAAAAATATGAGTTGACTGATCAAGTCAGAGAGTAGACCCAAATTCTGCAGAGAATCTAAGACAGCTGTGCTTTACCTCTTGCAGTGTTTGGAATACGTTAGTGATGCAGTGAGGATCCTTTCAAGTATATATGTCAGTTAGAAAGGATTTTTTGAATGGATAAACATATAGGGGAAGGGTAGCAGATGTGTTCATCCAAGCAACTCAAAATATCCAAGACTGCAGTTATTTCACAGTCCGTAAAGTAATGATTCAGAGGTTACACTCAAGGGTTTTTTATTCCCTTAATATAATCAACAAAACTAGACAATATATGATCCCATCTTCCTCTTTATACTGAATACACATATTATTCCTTAAAGAAGCGAGTTCTTGACATACATGACAAAAGATTCCCATCTAATGAGGCAGCTGATCGCTCTTATAACTTTTCCAATGATCTAGTGCTGCCCAGCAGAGATAGGACTCTGCTAAATACAGGTTTAGTTGGATGTGAGGAAATATCCACTTACTGTTGGTTGCATAACGTATGGCGGATGAGGCATCCACGAAGTACTCTGGACCTGCATATCAAACAACTTTCATTAGCACAAAACAGTTTTAAATAGAGATTTCTTTTCACAGTGAATTCAGTTGCAAGCATCCTTTTCACTTGTCACAATAACAACTAATAGTGAGCTAATTTCAGGAAGAACCTACAGGGAGACAAAATTAATTTATGTCTTGTAATCTTATTGGCATAGAAACTTTCAGATCCCATTCAGTAATGTTTCCGCCATGTTCAGGAGTCTGAAAGACAGCACACTGTCTATGCTCCCCTGTTTTATCCAATGAAGTGTGTTATCCAATAGATGGTACAGTTGGCTCAAACTTTAAGTAAAATTTTCAAAAGGTCTTTAGTGCCATCGTGTTTAAGTCCTCATTTCAAAAGTGACTTATGTACCTCAGAAAGTAATTTTAAAAGTCTCATTCAAAGCTTGGGAAAGGGATGCTAGGCCATTTAAGAGATTTTGAAATTTTTACCCTTTGTGCTGCCATTTGGAAGTTATCTTGGTGAAAAATTTTAGATACACTTCAAGCTTAAGAATTCCGAGTTGTGGAGTAGAGTGAGGTTTAATTAATTTTACCTCTGGATATCTGATTTTCAATCTCCCTTCCTATACAAACTAAAATAATGTTGGTATCTCAACGTAGTGGTAGTATCCTGCAGACATTTTCTTCATATTAAAAAAAACTTAACAACAACAACAACAAAAACCCCAAATGTAGTTTTGCAAGTCTGGTGGAATTTTCTGAAGCAGGCACCAGGACTGGAAAAGCAGCGAGGCTACAGGTTGGAACTGACTGGTATGGGAAAGAGCACATAACACTTGCACTGTACCTGGTTAAAGCAAGTGCCATAAGTTTCCCACTTTCATGACCATTAAATTCAATCATAAATATTTAAAGAAAACAACCCCAGATAACAATGAAAATTATCTATCTTGGTAAGTTTTAGGGATACGTTTTGTGCATGGTTTCAACTTTGATGGCTTGACAAGTGTTCCTCACTATAATGTGGGAAAAACTCAGTACTTTTGCTCCTCAAATCAATAATGATTAGCTATATATTGGAGGTGTTCCACTCCAAAAATATCACCTACAAATAAATCTATGCAGCAATGTTTTGACATCACCTCAGAAAAGCCATCCTGCCACAACAAGGATTTCACAATGGAAACTTGATATAGAAAAAGGAGACCTGGACACTAAAACCATTTTGGGAAGACTGGGAGGAGTTGGTGAGAACAGAAACTCCAAAATACACAATGGATGGGAGCCTGAAGACATCTATAAAAATTGTGTTCCCCCAATGTCTTGCTTTGCAGGGTGCTACTCAAGAGGAATGGGTGTTGTTAATGGAGGTCATTGAGGGAAGTATAGCTGAAAGCAAAAGGTCAAAACATGATGAAGACAAACTAAATGACTAAAAAGGTGCATTCTCTAAAATTTGGCCAATGGAAAGAAGCCATAATGACCAAACATCTCATTAAGCATGACAAACTTTTGCTAGTGTCAACTGGAAATGAAGCAAAATGCTGAGCACTTGAAAAACTGATTGAAACAGGACAAAAGCATGGTGGTGTTTATTACTTAGTGTAAAGAATCCAGAAAATGCTTGATACCCTACACCAGGGGTCGGCAACCTCAGGTAAGCACCCTGGCGAGCCGGGCCAGTTTGTTTACCTGCCACGTCCGCAGGTTCGGCCAATTGTGGCTCCCAGGCCAATGGGGCTGTGGGAAGTGGCCCGTGCCAGAGGTTGCCGACCCCTGCCCTACACTAAGTAGAACTTGAGTGCTACTAAAAAAGCCTTGGTTTAAAGCGTGAGTAAAGCATGCAGGCACACACAATTTTCTGCTGTATACGTTTTGCCTTTGTCCACATCCAAAACATAATTGTCGAGTGGGGGTACATTCTGAGATGCATGCAAATCTGACATACCTGATATGTAGAGACAGGGGAAGCAGCAATGAATGGCGTGATAGATGTCTGTGGAATCATGCGGTTTGTTGCAATACTGTACGGTGAGGAATAAAATCTGCAAACAGAAAACAAAAGGAAGATTCTTGAGGCTCTTGATGGCCAGACTCCACTTAACTGATCCACTGCCACCACTGGGCAAAGACAATTATATCTTTTTCTCTCCAAAACAATAATAAAAAAGGATGATGTGGCACTATGAATTTTGTCGGTTTTCTCCCTCCCCCTCAATTTCACTATCAAGATCATTTGCATAAGACATCCTTTTTTCTTCTACACCTACAGAAAGCATTAAGAAGCATAGAACTTTGGAAAACTCTCTTTCAGAAATGGAGAAAGCAGCTATTTGAAATGCAAAGGTGGTTGATTTTCCAGAGTACAATCTAGTCTAGGAAAACTTCTTGCCCCATATCAAAGATACTGATATTGATCTCATTTATGCATACGGTAACTATTTTCTCTCAGATCTGAATAGTTCAGTGTTGACGATAATATATTCTATGCATATTCCCTCAGTTTGCTTATTACGGGATAGCTGCAGTTACTGGACAAACTGGTTAAGATTTTCATATCAATCTAGAAGAGGAAAATGCATCTCTTCCATTGAAATTATTCAAAGGTATGTGTCTAACTTCCCTGGTTGTATGCAGGATAGTTGTAGCGGTATCAGTCCCAGGATATTAGAGAAACAAGCTGGGTGAGGTGATATATTTTATTGGACCAACATTTGTTAGTGAGAGAAACAAGCTTTTCAGCCACACAAAGCTCTTCTTCAGACCTGGGAAAAGTACCCCTAGCATCACAGCTAAATGCAAGGTGGAACAGATTGTTCAGTGTAAGTAATTAGCACATATTCAAGGTAAAGTAGCTGGTTAACACCTCTGCAGTTATAGACAAAATGAGAGAGTTAGTGGGTTACACATTGTTGTAATAAGCCATAAATCCAGTGTCTCTGTTCAATAAATGATTTCTAGTGTCTAGCAGAGTTCTCAATTTAAGTTCCCAGCACAGGTGACACGTAGCGCCCCCTCAGATTTCGGTGAGTGCCGAGCTTCCCTTGCAGGGCTTGCTCTGCTCAGCCTGCTGGCGGGGGAGCAAGCCAGAAATGTGCCAAGGATTGAGGGGCTCTGGCTTGCTCGTCCCCTGTCCCCGGCAGCCTGGCCCAGGCAGGGAGTGGGGGGGGGGCACCACTGCATCCCCAGCCGGCCTCTCTCGCAGACAGCTGCTGCGCTGCACAGAGTCAGTGACCTTGAGCGCCCACCCTCAACTGATGCGAGAAGTGGTTCCATCCTGCCCCCTTTGCCCCCAACCAGGGTTGCTGGGGAAGGCGCTGGGAGCAGAGTCCCTCTGCTCAGCCTGAGTTAGGATACCCCTGCTGAAGTATCTGTGAGGATGCCAGAGCTCTGGGGAGACACTGTGGGTCTCCTCAGGCCAGGGCCAGCCACGGTCCCCACCCAAGGCACATGCTCCCTGCTCCTGTGCACCCCCCCCAGGAGCCGATGGGATTGGCTGCCCTGCCCCGGGGAGGTGGGGCAGGAAGGTTCCTCCCAGAGGCAACGCATGGGTCGGTCACATGCCCCCACCCCCTTTACATTGTGCTCCTCACTGTCAGCAGGCACGAGTCGTCTCTGACTCCCAGGCTTGTCTTTTGAAAGTGTTGTGCAGGTTTCCTTCCAGGATGAGGACTGATAGGTCAGACATAGAGTGATCGCTTTGTGAAAAGCGTTCACCCACATGTGACGGGTTGCTTTTGTCTTTAACTCCTTTTGCTAAGCAATCTATTCTTCCTTGCATTTAGCTGGGATGCTCGGAGTATCTTTCCCAGACTTGAGGAGCTCTGTGTGGCTCGAAAGCGTGTCTCTCTCACCAACAGAAGTTGGTCCAATAAAAGATATTAACCTCACCCCCCTTGTCTAGTCTCTAACTCCCCTAGACAGTTCTGGAAATCTCAAAAACAATAAAATAAATCAGAGGTTATTTCTATGTCAAGCACATCACTTGAGGCATGCACTGGGTAGAAGTGGTGCATAGGATTTTGCAGAGACGCTTTCTGCAGAGGGGTGAATTAGAATGTATTCTTCCCCTTCCTATGACATCTCCCCCACACTGAGGAAAGGAAATTAACAGTAGCCTTCCACAAGAGCCATGCAACAAACAACATTATCTTTTTTTTACTAGTACACTGCTTAACGATCACTTTGACAAATCAGCATTTAATACTACTCAGTCTATTTAATGTAGCAGATTCTGGATGAGGAGTAAAATAAATCACTGAGTCAGGAGAAACAGGTAGGCTGGGAAAAGCAGGCTCCCTTCTTTGAACATTGGAAGAAAATGTCCAAAAAGAACAAGGGAGAAGAGAAAAGAAATTATTTGAAATACTGAAAACGGTTAAGATTTTAAACTAGCAAGGGCAGCAGGCTGAACTCTGGAAAAAACATATGAATAAATTGCCATTTTTAAGAATGTCTATATTGCCGGAGAGTGCTGCCCAGACAGCTGTTTTTAAAATGTCTCCATATAACATTTTGCATGTATCCTATTCATGAGATAATGAAGGAAAAGATAGATGCCTTTTTTGTTACATTGTTGTTCATCAGGGACTGAACAGACGCTGTTATTTAAAACCAAAGAATTTTTTGAATACATTTACCTGTGACATTAGCACAATGCATATGTTTTTCCTAGTCCTGTTAGAATGCTCTGCTGACCACAAGTGATCTGTTCCCAGTCAATGGCTAATCAGATTTCATTTTGGCCATGCTATTTTTTTAACAAATGTACCAAGGCAAGCTGTAGACCATAAACAGAATTTACAGGAAACTCCACGGGGAACTGCACAATAGAAATATAAATAAACCTCACAAGTAAAGAGATACTGTAAAGGGGGAATGCTTTCGAGAAAAAAATGCATTTTGGTTCTTACTGTTCTAATCCTATCCATCAAATATGGAATGTTATTTCACTCTCCAGGAAGTTAAAATACTGCCACTCAAGGTAAGAGCTATCAGGTGGAAGACAGTTGAGGAGAGAAACCACGTCCTATTTGATCCCCTAATGCTGATTCCCTGCTTAAGCCAATAACTCTATAGACAGCTAACCATTTCATTTTTAGCTTAGAGCGGCAGCTATGTGACTATTATATAAGCTTTTGGAATACACACTCGGGTAATGTGAAAAGTACATGCCTCTCAACTCCCCTACCAATGCCATTTATCTGTCATGGTCTGGAATGCTTTCAAACAGGTATCATTTAAAACAAATTATCAGGGCAGTCAGAGACATTCCTGATGCATCCACACCAGGGCACCACGGAAAAGAAAGGAGAGAATTCTGACAGAACAAACAACTTAATAGGAAAAACAAGCCTAAGTGTTGTACTGTAATTTTAACAACACTGGGCCATACTCTGCAGCAGAAAGGGGTGGAAAAGCCTCATCCTTCTCGGGGAGAATTCCCTCAGTTTAGGAACTGAGGAAGTCAGCTGCAGGATGTCTTCCGAAGCCCCCTCTGCAAGTCCAGGTGTAGACGGTATGCTGGGGGCAGAACTAGAAGCTGGAGGTCATGAGGGCACAGTGGACAATGGCAATGCTCAATGGCATTGCTGCCCAAAGGTAGGTTGGCTTGGGGTGCCATAGATTAGACAGTTCCCTGTTGCAGCAGCCCAGAACTGGGAGGTAATTTAAAGCCACCTTAGACACCTCTTTCCCTGTGCTGTGAGTAGTGTGCTGCCTCTCAGAGGCACCTCACAAACATCCCACCCAAATTCCCTTACACCCATTCACTGATATGTAAAGGAGTCTAAACTTGTGTAACATACATGCTGTGGATCCCAAAGAAAGGGTAGGAGTGAAATGTAAAGAGCAGCCTACTCTGATGGCAGAACTGGCAGAAGTGACACCAGCTTTGACTCCTTTTTGGCCCTTCAAGACTCACCACTGAATTTGCTACCCAAATTCACTGGCATTGGAAAGCACAGTACTTTACCAGAATTGTAGATTTGGAGGTAATCAACCTATATGTTATGACCTATATATGTGCATTCTCAAAGACTGAGGCTTAGCCTCTCTTTCTGCAGGTGCAATTTGCACACACAAAATCATTTGCAGGTGCAAATCAAAATTACTTGCCCCTCCACCTGCAATCAAGTTGCTATAGGTGCACATATCTCCAGCTCAAAAGCAAGTGCAACAATGCAGGTGCAAATTTTGCAGTTGCAAACTGCACCTGCAAAGTGGAGGCTGCTCTTTCATTCAAAAAAAAAAAAAAAGGAATCTTTTGTATGTGGATATTATGTGCACAGAGAAACACATTCACACCTTGTTACAGGTAAAAGTCTGCTCTGGGATACATTCACACAGCTCCCATTGCCATAGGAAAAGTTTATAAGGAGAGATTTACAAATCCCCTTAACAGAACCGTGTTCACGATAAGGGGATATCAGATATCTAGCACATAGGACAGGCAGTGCTCCGAGGAAAGTTTTTGTGGTCTAATAGTTCACATATTTCACTCCTTCATCAAAAAAGCAAGCTAGATTGGGAGATTCGACTCTTTGTAAAACACCGCTAAGAATGTCAATATGGTTACTATCCTATCGGAGAATGTGCAACCTTTTGCATAGAACATGCACGATGGCAAAACCTTATTTGCACAGAAATAAACACCATTTGCTCATGCCTCATGTCCATAGGCAGTACTGAAAAAGTCAGATTCATGAATAGTATCCTGGGGCTAACATAATGTAAGAGTATTACCAAGCATTATCACAGCAGCAAGTTTCCATTGCAATAAGCCACAGAGTCAGCTGTCAGAGATGGAAAACACCTCTGAGTATTGAGCCCGTTGCTCTGCAAATCCATAATATAGTCCCCCAGCTATCAATATTAAACTGATACAGTACGCTGCAATCTTACACTCAAAACAGGACTGAAACCTCAGCAACATTTTAAATGAGTATGTTTACAATGCAAATAGAAGACGTTTGTATTCTCTTGTACAAGTGTATTAAACAACTAATAGTAATATAATGAATTGTAACACTGATAAGGGAGCACTACCTACTTGCTCCCTGAAATAAAATCCAAGTGCCTTTATAAATGCAGTTCAAGAAAGCCTGATTACAAGACAGAAAAGACAGAGAGAGATTGAGCAAGGAATAGAGCTTCTGCAGCACAGTGTGCTGTGACGGGTACTTCAGATGTTCATATTGCATTGTTATGGTACACTAAGGGCCTGAGTCTCCACTCCATTACACCAGTTTTATGCTGGTGTAACTCCATTGATTTTAATGGAGTTCCATTGGCATAAAAACAGTGTAATGGAATGGAGAATCAAGCCCTATAACTTAATAGTCTCAAAAGAGAATGATCCATTACTTTGTCGGGGAAACAACTTAGTTTTGTTGTTGTTGAAAATGTCTCTTTTTTTTACTTCTGCTATGGACTTTAAAAGAAAATATACAATCATACAGTAATAAAACTGACAGTACACAGTGATTGGACTGAATCCCATTTTTGTCATCAGGAGAACACACAGACCCTGAGTTAGAGTCCAGACTCACCCCTTTCCTTAAGGTTTGGCTCTGTTGAGACCTCAAGAACAATACCATAACATAAACTCCAGCTCCTCCATGAGCTTTTCCAGGGCCATCTCTGTCCTAGCTGCCTCTCTCTAGACAGCCACTCCCACCTTCCTCATATCCTGCGTGGAGTTAAGACTTGCTAACAGGTATAGTCAACCTTCTTAGGGGTTAGTTTTATCAGTAACTCAAATCTCATCCTAGGCTTCCTCCTTGAGCTTGGTTGTCCCTAGGTTTTCCCTCCCCTGTCCTCATGCTCCTGTTGCCTCTCCTTTGAAAGCCACTCCACCTCTGTTGTAAGCCAGGTGGAGTTAATAAGCCACACCTCTCAAATAAGTCAGCTGGATTTTACCAGCTTTGTGCAGAGCTCCATGGGTCCTATGAATAGGCCTGCCGACTCTTACTACAAGCACAGGTATAATGTCTTGCTTTTGCAAGTACAGGAGTATATTCTCAACTTGATGTTCAGACTTTAGCTGCTCATCTCCCATTATTGCTAAAGAATTACACAACAAGGATACTCACTACCTGAAAAATTGCGCTAAAATACAGTGTGTGATACAGTCCATCATACCTGAACATACTGAATCATATTTGTTCACTTTGCCAGCCAAACATCAAGGTGCTCCCACACTTAAGCAGGCACAAATCCCATTAGCTAGTTTTTCATTGCACTTACCCATGACAGCAATGCAACAAAATACATACCATCAAATATGCAAGTATGCATGCGAAAAATGATACAGAATTGCATCCATATGATGTACAGAGACTAATAGATGAATTGTAGGGGAGTTAAAAAGAAATCATTGAATCAAGGGGTAGTGATGTTATTAAGGTGACAGTAGAGACCTCTTATTTTTATGATGTGTCCAGTAACCAAAGATGGAATGCCTACAATATAATGCACTGTGGGTCAACTATGGTTTTCTACATATTAATAAGTGCTTCTGATGACACTTCACTCAATCAGAATATTGCCATGTGAGCATTTTGAGTGAGACCTTTTTATGTTAATCAAATTGAAAATGTAATGACCCTCTAGAAAAAAAGAAAGGTCAAGAGCAGGAGTCAATCGTTAATATATGATAAAGAAGCCCTATATTGTTATTTATTTTATATTTTTCAAATAAAAGAACATTTTAAAAATAGAAAAATTGGAATTTTCCATTGGACACTGCATTACAGAACAAATCCCCCCCCCCCCCAAAAAAAGCAACAGTTTTCAAGCAACTGAGCAATCCAAATGCCTGAATGGTATTGGGTCCTCTGTGATAGAAATAATGTGTGGATTTGAAATAACTTTCACTATAACAAGACTGAATTTTACAGATCATCACAGAATTAAATATGTTAGTCACTTTGAGTCATTGAAATTACAATTCCCATTATGTTCATGTCACTGATACATAGGAATTATTTTTAATTAAAAACTAATTGTTTTGATGATACACTGCTGGACTATGAACTTTGACGATTTCATTTCAAACATGGCCAACAGGGTGCTACCAGCTGAAAAGTGCACAGGACCACAGAGCCCCGTGCGGGAAAGAAATGGATTTGTTCAAGAAAGAAAGAAAGATTTCCACACAGGACCAGAACTAAAGAACACCAGAATTCAAATCAGGGTTCTGACAAAACTCCCTTTGGGGTCTTGGGTAAGTCACTTTATTGCTCTGCCTTATCATCTTCATCCCCAAAATGAAAATCTACCTCAGAGGGATGTCATTTGTAAAGTCGAGTGAAGTTGAAAAGTATTAATTATTATAATTCATTTGTTTTCAAATACTTGGAATGTTTGTTTTTAAACATTTAAATTATGCTCTAAGAGATACTGAAAAACAAAACAAGAGTTTCTAATGTTTTATATCTTTTTCCCTTCATGGGCAGGAGATCCAAGATGATAGTCACTAAAGTGCTTGTATGGAATTTAGTGAGGTCTACCAAGACTCACCAATTTCCCACACTTTTAACTGATGATAATGCAGAAAGCAATTATTACAATCAACATCCCTTTGGTTAAACAGGCACTGCGAAATATTTTAGACCCAAAACACATCCTATTTTAAAACCATCATCATCTGGCTGGAAATTTTAAGCCCAACAAATAATGGCAGGTGTAATCAGGTGGTCAGATAGTTAATGATTGAAGTATGCAGGAACATTTCAAAAATTGCACCTTCAATTATTTGTCTCAGGAAGTTGTGGGTGAAAGATGAAGATCAGCATAGTTTATAAGTCTAGCCTGAATCTCTTTCGCTCAAAAACTAATCTAAGGCTTTGTCTTCAGGCTTTTTGTTCAGGCAATGCTGTGACAGCCATCCAGCTAGCAGAAGGAACTCAGATTAAGTAACAATCTTATTACACAAGCCATGCTGGCATTCTCAATAATTATTTTAACTAAAATGAAGGCAATAATGGGGAAAAAACAGTGTTTGCCAAATGGAGATGGAAACTATTAGGAAAAAAAACTTCTTGTTTGAGTTGATATTACACACAACAGAGAATAAAAACAAAAATGAAAAATATGGAATGTACTTGCCAGTGCACATTGACAGAGCATATACAATGATTATTGGATGAATTTGCTTCTGAATGAGTTTCACTGCAGGAAGCGAAACTGGAAAGAGAGCCCTGCAAATAATTTAAAAAAGGAACTGAAAAGCATATGTTACTTACCCATTCTGTATAGCAGCTGTTGGATCATAGGTCAAAGCCATGCCAGCCTGCACATAGTTAGGGGGAAAAAACAGATTTTTACTCTAGCTGTAGACAAAATGGCATTAAACATTCTTTTAGAATTCCATTTAACATGCATTCAGTTTTGAGGTACATGGACTTAGGTTCACAAAGCAAGCTAAAATTTCTCACAGTAGCTTGGAAATCCTGGTTACCTTCCTTGACAGAGATTTCCCCAGCCTATTGGTTGGGCTAGTATTTTTGCTATCCTCTCCCTACACCATTCTAGGCCAAACTGTACTCTTAATTACACCAGTATAAATCAATAACTCCACTGTGATCAATGGACTTACTCCACATTTATACTGGTATAACTGAGGGCCAAGTTCTGCTACCGCCCAGCGAGGCAGGTAGTTCATAAATAGATTCAGACTGGGTATGAAAGAGTTAAGCTTAGGAACAGCTACATTTTCTTTCAAAGATCACACCTTCTATGACCAGATCACTCTAGGATTTCTCTGTGCAGTTGTAGTTTGTTGTCTGGGAACAAGTAACATTGAATCTCTGCAGTCAAGCAGAAAAGCACAATCAAAAAAAAATGTGCGGATTACTTTATAAAATATTTTAGGGAATGGCTGTCTAAAGAATTTGTTAAAGCGGTACACACTGCCTTTCCGCTATCAGTCACTGGGACAAATCCAGACGGTAATTACTACAGGATCAGATGGTGACCTGTGTGGAATGAGCTGGCAATGTCAAAGCAGCTTCTAGTTAACAACTGTCCATATCACCATTAGCAAACGTGTCAGAAAAGCCAGGGATGGACTAGAGATGGAGAATGAACTACCCCACACCCCCACTCCTCCAGGTGGTATTTTTGTTCAGGGTTGAGGCAGACTGGCAGGACAGTTTGGGAAGCACAAGCTCCTCACTGTGTCGTGCCACCACTTAAATCTCCAGAGGTGACAACCCCCCGCCTCTCATGACTGCTACATTCACTTGGATTTTTTTCTTTAAACAGAGGAAATTTATTTTTAAAAAGTGTGTGTGTTTTAAAGTCCTGCCACGAGATGTGAGGATCTGACATGGGAGAGGGAGGAGGTAGATGCTCCTCAGGCTTAGCTGCCCAGCAGACCTTCTTTAAAAGGATTCCAGGGTATGGAAGATCTCTATAGAAAAGTGGGGATAAGCTTTTGCTGTAATAACTGTACTGCAGGTTCCACATTGCTGACAGGGCAAAAGGCATTGCCAGGTCTTACCTATCTAAATATTTACAAGTAACAAGCACTGTTACTAGCTGAACGCCTGCCCCATCCCCGATGGCTCTCCACAGGGATCAGGAAAGGGGGATGATGCACAGGCTTAATGAGCCTGAGCCTGGTCCTGCTTCTGTAGAGGCAGGGGATGATCCATGCAGGACTGTGGTGACAACAGGGCACAGAATGTTTGGTTGGAGACTGTTTTCTGAAAGGGTGAGTTAACACAGCAGCAGCACCTTGGTCTACAATGTGACCGACTGTGTTTTCAGAAACAAAAAAGCGTTTATTTTAAAAGAAAAACTTCGAATTCAGAGCATCATACTGTTCCGCTAACATGGCACTGTGCAATCTGGAACGGGTTTTTCTTCACTCAGGGTTATAATCAGTCTCCGATGTTTTGGCAAGTTTTTGTTTTGTCTTGTTAGTTGAAAACGTCGCTGTTTCAATGAGATATATACAACGTTATGTGGAAGCTGTCCCAGGAGACTAAGCCCATGAATATGTGGCTAATATTTTTAAATAAGTGTGATGTTTGTTTATTTTTTTTCACTTGAGTCATAGCAAAAAATGGCGGAAGAACAGTTCTGCAAACTTAATTTAAAAAAATCCCCATAGTTCGGTTGAGTCCTAAAACTGAAAAATTCAGCATAAAAATGGAAATAGCCTAGAAAATTGTGAGCATCAGAAATAGCGGCAACTATTAACAACCTTAACTCTAAGTACTACTACCAGCAAAAACTGTGTGTGTGTGTGCGCGCGTGCATGTCCATCTGTCTGTCTGGAATATAAAATAATCATTATTTGGAATCCCTAAATATGTAAACCTTAACAAAATATATGATGGTAGAGACATAACAGATGTTTCGTCATATGTTCAGCATGATCCGCTTAACTCACTCATTGCTTCTCCATTCCTTTACACCTTTCCATTCCTTTCTGCTTTCTCTGTGTATGGTATTGTTTAGAATAGTCACATTACCCGGTTCTGGAAAGTTTTTCCCAGGACACTGCCAATAACACTTGTATACCAAATGTATTTTGCCTCTGATACATTTTAGAAACTTTTTTTACAGTTATAAAATTTGTTATTGGTGCTACTTTTTAATATCCCACTACTAGTAAAGACAACTTAATTAGCATGTACAAGCCCTGGAGGGACAGAAAAAATAGTTCTAACACATTTTTAACCCTCTAAAAATAACTTAAGAGGTTTTCTATAAATCATGGTGTTTTAAAACTTTAATATTCGGTGCCACCCCTGCTCAAGCCTGCAAACAAATGCTATAAACCCTTGGAAAGGAGGGATCCCAAAGGGTAAGGCAGGGGTTGTTAGATTTGATGGTCATGACATATACCACCTTAAAACTGTTTTTGGATCAGAAATTGTACCTCCAACACCCTGGATCAATGCAATTTGGAGATAAAATTCCAGTATGGGTGAAAAAAGGAGGAAATACAAAAATGAATAAATATAAAGAAAAACCTGTTTGCCAGCTTCTCGGAAGTTAGCGATGTTAAAAACAGTTTCAGTAGAGACTGATTGGCAAACAGAGTTCACCTGAGGCTGGCAAAAGTACATTTATTATATAGTTACAGGTATTTTCCCCATGGATATTTAAACACATTTTTATGGGTCAGATCTTCAGTTGGTGCAAACTGGCATAACTTCATGGATCAGTCGATCTATCTATCTACTCACCCATCCACCCGCCCCGCCCCACCACACACACACATACACTCCCTTGTATATATGTTACCATCACATTCCTAGCTTTTATGTATACTACAGATAAGGATTACTGTGAACATTATCTGCTTGAAAAGCAAAAACATAAAAAGCCACATTATGATACCCTTACTCCAGACTGAATAGTACAGGGCATACTTGTGCAGTAAGGGGATCAACATATGACCCAAACATTTTAATGGTGACCACTATACATTTTACTATTACATTTGCCATTAAGTGAAAGCTTCATATTAGAGAGAGAGACTTGAAAAATACATGTTGCAGTGATATATTTTGCCTAGTAGTACACCTAACACAGTATCTCTTACATTCCGCGCCTCTGAACAGTTTCAAAGAGCTGCCATTTCAAACAACTGCAAAATAGAAAATTGTTTACTTCTTTCCCAGCAAATTGTGTAGTTCTTCCCTACAAAATTGCACTGGCCTGAGGCCCAAGAGAGCCAATATTCATCCTGCACCATTGACAGGTTTACAGTCTGAAGTTTCATGACTCATCAGGGCTAGAAACTGATGAGTAACTATAGCCTATGTGAAAACCATCCATTGTTTTCTCCATAATACAATAACCAGAATATTGAAAACACCAGATAAATTATATGAGGGATAGCATCAGACTTCCATCCAGTGACGATGCACATTGCTGGAAGGATGTTCTTGAGAACAAAGAGATGAAGGCCACATAATTCATGCCTCAATGTTTTCCAGTTCCTCAGCTGTTTCAAGTGAATACTGTCTCCCAAGTTTTTTCATCCATCACTATTACTTATGTTGCAGTGAGGGGACAGTGTCTCCTTCATTCTATTAGTAGTGGTACTAATGATGAAATACTAGCTGAAACTCCAAACAGTTATTTATCAGGTAGTTTTCTGGTTACTGAATATTTGGACCACAGATTTTCAACACCAGATAGGCCTGATGGTGGGACCATACTTTGCTGTTTACTAATCTTTTTGGTGACTGGGTACTTTTGGGTACCCCAGAATTTCAATATCTAACCAGTTCAAAAATTAAATTAAAATCAAAGGGTAGCATTGGCAATTATTATTGTTAATAATAATAAACAAACAACTTCCTGGGTGACTAGAGAATAAGTAGGCTTAGGATATCACAAACTCACAGAAGTGAAAGCAGATTCACTGATGGGGAAATAATTTTTTATTTAGTCTGTTTAAATCTCTGTTTGTTTGTTTTCCTTAACAACTTTTGAATTCAAATGCCTCATGAACAGTTGGAAGAAAAGCCATTATGTTAAAGATTCAACATCCCCTCCTCTGCCCTTCAGGGCTAACCCATATTGCTGGCTCTTCCAGTGAAGACCTCCATTGAAACAGAGAAGACAGGACTTGACATTTAGAAGGAAAAAAACAACAACAAAAACAATCTAAGAATTCACTACGTCTAGTAATGTTGCAGATGACTAGTCTATTAGGGTGGCCAGGCATCCAGTTTTCGACTTGAATGCCCGGTCGAAAAGGGACCCTAGCAGCTTTGCTCAGCACTGCTGACCGGGCTGTTAAATGTCCGGTCGGCGGTGCAGCGGGGCTAAAGCAGGCTCCCTGCCTGCCCTGGCTCTGCGCAGCTCCCCAGAAGCAGCCGGCGTGTCCAACCCCTAAGCGCAGAGGCGATCTGGGAAGCTCCGCATGCTGCCCCCACCCCCAGCACCAGCTCCGCAGCTCCCATTGTCTGGGAACCACAGCCAAAGGGAGCTGCGGGAGTGGTGCTTTCTGGGTGTGGGCAGCATACAGAGCCCCTTGGTCCCTCCGCCTAGGGGCCGGACATACCGGCTGCTTCCAGGAGCAGCATGGAGCCAGGGAACCTACCATAGCCCAGCTGCGCCGCAGACCGGGAGCTGTCTGAAGTAAGTGCCGCCTGGCCTTAGCCCACACCCCAAAGCCCCTGCCCCACTTTGGAACCCCCTCCTGCACCCTAACTCCCTCCCAGACCCCGCATCCCCACCCACACCCGAACCTCTTGCCCCAGGTCGGAACCCCCTTCTGCACCCAAACTCCCTCCCGGAGCCTGCACCCCACACTCCCTC